CACCCCAGACCTGATGGGGAACCAGACCGATAGTCCTTCTGTTGATCTTACGGCACAGAGACTGTTTTAAAAAAAGTGCCATGATGTTCTCCGACGATTGTCCTCTTAAACCATATTCCTCTACGACTTCCCAAAGTTGACATCTATCTACCCGCTCAAACTCCCTTTCCTGAACCACGAAGACGATAGTGATGTCTTTGTCATGTGCAATGGCAGTCTCACACAACTGTCTTGACGCGAAAATAGTGTCAGCACAGCCCCTGCCTTTTCTGAAGCCAAACTGGGATTCACCGAGTGAGTCTCTACAATTGGTCTCATTCTCATTTCCAGTATCTTGGCAAACATTTTGCCCTCATGGTTGAGAAGGGATATTCCTCTGTAGGATCCACAGTCTCTTTTGTTACCTTTCATTTTCCAAATGGGTACAATGACAGCTCGTTGCCAGTCATCGGGGGTTGTTTTTGTCGTCCAGGCCAGGTTAAATATCCTTCATAGCCAGAGTTCACCAATATGGCCGTGTACTTTGATCTCTTCTGCTATGATGTTATCAACGCCGGGCGCTTTGTTTTAAGAGGCTTTTCTTTATAACATTTTGGGTTTCACTCAGCAGTAGTGATGGTTCTCGAGTGGTTTCTTTTGGTGAGAAGGTGTTTGGTGTTGTTTCTCCTGTAAGATTCAGCAGCTCCTGGAAATAGTGTTTCCATCCTTCTTTAATCTTTGGCTTACTGAAAATAGAGTTCCATTCTCATTATTGACTGTTTCAGTTGAGTTGAATGGTTCTTCCCGCATCCTCATGCTTTTAACGCTCTTGTAAAACTCTCTGGGGTCTTCTTTACATCTTGTTGCCAGCTGTTCTCCATATACTGTCCAGGATCTGTTCTTAGCTTCTTTTACTACCCTTGTTGTTTGACGGCGTTCCTTTCTGTATAGGGTGTAATCTTCCTCTGTCTTTGATTTCTGCCACTTTTTGAATGCCCCTTTCTTCAGTTGGATGGCTTCCTTTACTTGGCCATTCCACCATACAGTTGTTTTCCTTTTTTGCCCCCCCCCTGTTTTCCTGGTGCCGCTTTCTTCTTTTAATGCTTTGTTCACACATGCTTTGAAGTGGCTCCATTCCCCTTCAATGTCTCCCTGTTGTTTGGGCAATTTGTGAAATACATTTTTCATATATTCATGTATCTTATGTTTGGTATCGTCATTTATATTTCTGAGATTCACGACTTCTCGTCGTTTTCTTGCTTCTGGCCTATTCCTGTTTGGTGTGTCGATAGTCATGATGACTGGTCTGTGGTAAGTGTCTATGATGTAGTTGGGTATCACCCTTGAGTCTCTGATTTTTCTCAGTTTTGATCTTTTGGCCAGAAAAAATCAATTTGAGATGGCCTTTAGGTCATTCCATTTGTACCAAGTTTTAACTTGACTCCTTTTGTGTTGGAAGAAGGTATTAACAACAACAACAACAACAACAACAACAACAATAATAATAATAATAATAATAATAATAATAATAATAATAATAATAATAATACTGATGAGCAATGCATGTTGAGAGGAGAAAAAATATTTCTTGAGCGAAACAGAGGAAACAAAGTCAATGGTCAACAAGGTTAAGCCTTGCGTCTTCTGCTGTGGCCACTGAGGACATTTCTGGCAGAGAAAAGTTGGCAGAAGATATCGGAGACGTCTCTGGCGAGCACCCACGAACTATTCGGAGACGCGCTCCCGCACACAGATGAACTGCTTTGGGGGCCAAACTGCGTATCATTTGCTGCAGATCACACATATATTACCACTAAAACTGTCGAAAATCAATTATTTTCAAAAAATTTTCAAATCTAATGGCAAAATATCAAATTATGAGTTAAAACAGGGGGCTGTAACCCCCCAGATTTATTTACTTGGTCCAGAGGCACAAAGCTTTTTGATTGGCCTATCTCCGTCAGAGACGTCTCCGAATAGATACTGTGGAACCGTTCGCCACATTTTGAGCAGCAAAACGTTCTGTTACTGCTCGTGGATGTGGCCAGTTTGCGGGCTTCTCTCTTGGTTTCAGCATTTCTTGTTAAAATTTGTGAACCCTTATTCATTTGCTGCCCACTGTGACTGCTGCTCCCCAGCTGGGTCTGTCAGGAGTTCAGCTCTTGTATGTGGAAGGATTTATTTGTATTATTAAAAATTATTATTTTGAAGTCCTTCCTGCAGGTGATTGGAGGATGCCACTGGTAGGTTCTACTTCTTTACTTTCTCTCTGTTGTTTCTGTCTGCCTTTCTTACTTTCTTTCAGCAGGAAATGCGCCTTATTGTGTCAATGTCCTTCTTTTTACCAGAACAAACACGCTAAAGAGAAAAAACAGTTGTTGCCCCCCCCCCCAAAAAAAGAAAGAAAATTAAGAAAACATTGCCCAATACCAAGAAAAATGGCTGTTTCTTTGATTTCATTGTTTTGACGAGCGCTTGATTTCATTACGATGCCTAACATTTAATGTTTATTGTTTTCATAGATTTTATCGGTTATTGATAACGTACAATGTACCACGGTTTTGTAAAAAAATAATCTTCCATGTCACTTGATGATTTAGGTATCTTGTTGGTGGCGTGAATGAAACAAAAGACTAGCGTATTGAAATTATCTTACGACTTTATGTCGCTATCCTGTAAATACCTCGAAGCATGCTTTGGGAACCGATAGATCTAGTTTCTATCTAAACAATGTTGAAATACGCCCTTTCTTTCTTCCACCTGCTACTTCCTGGTCAATGCGGGAAAAGAGAACGACCCCCCCCCCCCCCCCCCCCCCCGCTCCCTCTTGTCGTACATCTTTGTAACGCAATTATCAGCAGATAGAGCTTTTTGACTGCCGACGACCCACAAAATAACCCCGACTGTTGTCGTCATTAAAGTATGCGGATAAACAAAACAAGAAAACAAAAACAAGAGGAAAAACCACATTATTATTGACAACGTGAAAACCCAGAGGCTATAAATAACTTGTTGCTCGCCCCTCCCTGAAAGAGAATCTTTACCTCCCCGTCTGGTATTTTTCAGCTGGTGCGATTACTGTCAGTTGGGGATTGGTCCATCTCGTCTCAAGTGCCTCCTAGTGTTGTATGTTTAAAATCTGGATGAAAAAACAAAATAAAAAACAAAGCAACCCTAATCTCCCTTCCCCCGAGCCCCCCCCCCCCAAAAAAAAAGCAACCAACCCCGTACAGACCCCCCTTACCCCTCCCTCTATTTTCTCAAGAATTATTTATAAATGCAGATCTGTGTATCAATGCATGCATGTGTAGGTAGGACTTTGGGGGGAGGGGGGCGGGGCGGAAGTGTGTGTATGTGTGTGTGTGTGTGTGTGTGTGTGTGTATATGTGTGTGTGTGAGTGTGAGTGTGCATTCCTCTCTTATCAAATTCTTTGTGTATACAGCAAACATGATAGAATTGAATCTTTTTCGATTAGGTCTTTTTTTTTGTATCTGAGCCATACACATAGCGAAATTCGTACATTAGAAAGAAATATCCACGCTATGCCGATTTCGTCATGTGCGTGTTGTAGACTATTTCAACAGTATTACGAAGTATATAATAAAAAGCAAGTTATAAAACAAATCGAGTTGGGGGATTGGAGGGTGCCACTACATGTAGTAGGCCCCCTTCTTTTCTGTCTTTCTGTTCTTTCAATTTGCATGCATGCATCCTCCCTC